GATTTTTGGCCTTTAAAAAAATTATGCAAATTATGAAATTAAAAATATGTTGTATTATACATAGTAACATATTAATTGCCAGTAAGAATGAATTATAATAACATAAAGAGAATACAGGAGTATATATTACAGAATACACAATACAAAATTTATAATTATATGTAATATTTTTTGCAATATTTTTGATAGCTGTATCATTCTTGCTCTTCCTCTATCTTGTGCACAGCTTGCATTCAAAAATACACATCTGCAGATTAGAATCTAAGAATCTGGATGGTGTAAACACACCAGATCAATTTGACTGCACTGAAAAAATAACAGAAATGCATTGTTCAATTTATAAAACCTTTATGGAGTGTGAGGCATATTTTATTAATAATATTTTAAGCATTTACATAAGTCACAAGTTCTTAAAAATTTTGAAATATCCAAATAAAATTTCAAACATAAAATGCTCCTTCTTCCACTTAAAAATCAGCTGCTTCATGCAAAAAACCCGGAGAAAACAGAGCATGGGCTTGTTCTACTGTGCCTCATGAAATATTTTCATGAGCAAGATGATTCATGAAAACTAAAGAAGTATCAAAAAACATTTATATGTGCTTTGATGAAACAGAAAAATTTATTGCGTAAAACATCAGTAAAGCTTAGAGAGGTCTTTTTACATCCCTAATTTTGAAGAAAGAGTACCTGCATGTCAAATGCTTTGAAATGTTTGGATCAGGTGACACACCAATTTTTCAAATATGCATATATAGCTACTTTCCTAGGCAATTTCTTTTGGCGTCTCCTATATATTGCTTAGTCCAAGTCACTTGGATTCCAAGAGCTGCTCTGAGACTCTTGTCAGAATCACACAGTATCTCAAGTTGGAAGGAGCCCATAAGGATTATCGAGTCCAACTCCCTGCTCCTCACAGTGCTACCTAAAACCAAACCATATGACTAAGTACATCGTCCAGATGCTCCTCAAAGCCTGACAGGCTTGGTGCCGTGACCACTTTCCTGGAGAGCCTGTTCCAGTGACCGACCACCCTCTCAGTGAAGAGCCTTTTCCTTGTGTCCAATGTGAACTTCCCCTAAACCACCTTCATTCCATTTCCTTGTGTCCTCTCACTGGTCACCAGAGAGATGAGCGCCTCCCCCTCTGCTGCCCCCCTTGAGGAAGCTGTGGCCGGCGATGAGGTCACCCCTCAGTCTTCTTTTCTCCAAGATGAACAAACCAAGTGACTTCTGCCACTCCTCTTAAGTCTTGCCCTTGAGACCTTTCATCATCTTGGTTGCTCTCCTCTGGACACACTCTCCAGTTTTATGTGTATAACCAAGATTACTCATCCCAGGTGGAGAATCCAGCACTTGATCTTATTAAATTTCATATGGTTGGTGATTGCTCAGCTCTCTAGTCTATCCAGATCTCCCTATAATGCCACTCTAGCCTTGAGGGAGTCCACAGCTCCTCCTAGTTTAGTATCATCAACAAACTTAACTTGATGTATATTCAATTCCTGCATCCAGATAATTTATAAAAACATTAAAGAGCACTGGCTCTAAAATTGACCCCTGAGAAACCCCACTAGTGACTGGCTGCCAGCCTGATGTAACCCCATTTACTCTTTGAGCCTGACTCATCAGCCAGTTGCTCACCCAAAATATTATGGACTTGTCTAGCTGTATGCTGGACATTTTTCCAGAAGGATACTGTGAGAGTATCAAAAGCTTTGCTAAAATCCTAAAAAACCACATCCACTGGCTTCCCTTCGTCAACTAGATGAGTGACCTTATCATAAAAGGAAATTAAGTTAGTCAAGCAAGACTTTCCCCTCGTGAACCCATGCTGGCCACAACCAACAACTGCATTGTCTCTCAAGTGTTTTTCAGTGACACTCTGAGTAACTTCCTCCATAATTTTACCAAGCACTGAAATGAGACTGACTGACAGGCCTGTGACTACCAGGGTCTTCTTTCTTTCCCTTCTTGAAAATTGGGATAACCTTTGCCACCTTCCAATTGACTGGGACCTCTCCAGACCCCTAAGACTGTTGAAAAATAATGGAGGGAGGTCCTGCTCTCAGTGACCTGACCTCTTTGTTAAGCACCTGAGATCCTCCTCATTTGGTTCTGAATGCCTTGGATTTCTTATCAGCTTGGAAGGTAGCATTAAAATCACACAGAACTGCATCAGTATCTGAACAGTAAGCTTTTTGATTCACTGAGTTTCAAAAATCTGTTCTAGAAGAACAGAACTTCATCCTGTGATTTCTCCAAACTCTACTCCCCATCTCTGAGAAAGGGAAGAAACACTAAAGTTCAATGCCTACTCATAAAATGCCAAAAATTGTGTGCTGCTCCAGATCTGGCTGTTTTATCAAATGAAGGCAATTTTTTTACAAAAATCAAACAGGAGATTTTCAACAGAAGGAGGGAGGATAAGAGAAGGTTTTCTATTTTAAGACAGTGCAGAATAAAGTGATGCTGAAAGTTGGGTTTAATAAAAGAAGACATTAGAAAAATCCACCAAAACATTGTATTATACTCAAAAATAATGCAAAAGTAAAATATCCGAAAACTCAGGCAAACTGGCGCTTGGCAGCACTAACTGGAAGATGACTTAGCGTAAGCATTATTTGAATGCTCATTTCAAAAGTCCTCTCTGCAATGTTAGAGATAGAAGCCCACACACAGACAACAGGATGTATGATGGGTACAGCATTGGTGAAAATGACAATAGGGGACAGGGTCCCTGTAGGCTCACTGACATCTCTTTCGCTATTCAGACATTACAGAAAAGTGAAATTGCTCTAGAGCTCCATGTGGAATTTAGTTTCTCTTGTTCAGAGAGAAATGGAGTTACCAGTGATTTCCTGCTTTCCTTAGGCACCTGCCCTGCAGTAAACCTCCACCTATGAATACTGATAGGTATTTCACTTACGGGAGTCCTAAGAAGTCACATGGGGGGCTTCATGGCTATGTGGTCACTAACACTGTGGGTTTAATTTCACTGTGGTTTTAATTTGCTACTGAACACACTTTTACAAAATACACTGCAGCATACCTACTAACTTGTAAAAACATATTAGCACAAATACCATCATTAGCCTATTCATAACACCACAGGTGACAAAATAATACTCTGCTATTTCTTTTTACTTGTCCAGTAAAAAAAAAAAATAATAAAATTACAGTTCATGGAGTTTTACGATTTCCAGGTACAAATTTTGAAGTATTCTACAATACTTGGTTACTCATATAAAAGCAGTCTAGCGCACCTCAGGAGCCACAGGGTGGGAAAGGTAAAGGAAAGGGAACCCAGCATCAAAAACATCTAGAAGTTTCAATCTTCTAGATTTAAAGAAAAGTGGGACATTCAACCAGACTTCCTTGACAGAAAGCAAGCTTTACTGATTTGTTTTTCTAAGGAAAAATAAGATAATTTTCAACGTAAAATGGAAGAATCTATGCCCTTTGTTTTCTTTACTCCCAACTAAGTTTTTCCAAAGTGGGAAAAAGCATACTTTTGTAAAATACCGAAAGGCTGAACTTTTACGCACTATGGGCATCCCAGCATACCTCCTGAATGGCTGTCATGACAACATGTTGAACTGATTCCTCCATCATCATTATGGTCTGGATGTATTCTGAAAATAAGAGCATTCTGAAATGTTACTGTTGAAACTCAAGTCATACAGAACATGAGGTCAGAAGCTGCATCCTTCCTACAAAATGACTAGGTGCAACGGATGACATTGAAATACATAATCACCACTCAAGTCCCAGCCCAACAAACTCAACGAGAATTTATCAGAAGTCTGTTCAGACATAAATCCAGGCTCACTGGAAGTCTGCCACAATGAAAAAAGTGTATCATTGTCATCCACTTTTTTCCTTCTGGCATCTCACACTTCTGAAATAACTACTTATACTCCTTTTCTCACTTGGTTCCCAAACTATTTAGGCTATACAAGTACACGATCCATGCACAGGTTGTCCTTTTCCATAAGTTTAACAATAATGTCCTGCCTTCCTACAGCATCCTCAGTTCAAGACATTTTCATATCCTTTCTTGCCTTCTATTCTTATTTCTGTGCTATATCACAAGTGAGTCCCCTCCAATTTTTATTCCTCACCTCTGTGTAGATGTGAGCTACACAATAGGTACCTTGTAAGATGATACAGTGGTTAGACTGACAAATTCTGACATTTAGACCAAGTCAAGGAGCTTATGACTTGCCCAGTATCATATGGTTTCCTGTCAGATACGATCACCTTTACATGTGATCTTCATTCTTTTAATGATTTGCCCAAGAGGAAGATGCTGGAAGCAGTCACCTCAAAGTGACTAATTATGTCATACCAAGTGTCACTCAAATTACATAAAACTAGACTGTTCCAATATTCCAAACACATAAATTTTTAATGTTCAGACTGGAAGCATAAGAAAAACACAGGAATAACAATTTAGAATGCCAAATAGTCACAAAATAAATTGAATTAAGTGTAATTTAAGGTAACTGGGTAACAATAAGACACCCTGTCTCCAAGGCAAGTTTAGAGTGTGAGATTTAGGACACTTCAACAAGTGTCTCTGTTGTTCATCACATCCTCTGTGGCATGTGCAGGAAAAATAAATGGGTCCCTATTTTACCTGTGCAGGTCAGACAGACAGTGACATGGGAGTCAAGAGAGGCAGAAGTCTCTTTCAGTGACCCTGAAGTGGGATTCAATTGCCTAACACATACCTCAAATCACATTTTGTCATGCTTGGTCTTCAGCTGCTGCCCAGAAGGGCATGGTTGCTAATATTACTTTTTCCTATTTGCCAACCCCATGCAAAAGTCTCAGAAATCCCAGATCACACTTAGACATATCTTCAGACCAAACCACAGTCATACTGATGGCTCTCGGCCATATAGTAAGATGCTGACTGGAATGCATTCCTAAAACCATGGGTCACACAGAGTAGTGCAATCACATTTTTTTATTCTTAAATATCCTGATCTATCTCATAAATGGTTAAAGGGTGGGCCCAAGAATTTTCCTTTGTAAAATGCCTTTTCAGCTCAGCAAACAAAAATTGAAAATATGCATGTTGGAAGCAAAACCAGTTCCACAGTTTGAGACACTGAAACTAGTGAAGCTTCTAATAAAACAACAGTTATTATTTGTAGGACAAAATATCATCATCACTGGGAAAAAAAAATACATTGTCTTCAACAGTAACCTGAGAAATACAATTTTTTCCCCCTAAGCAGTTACACAACAAGCTGGATTTTCATTCACTGCCTGGGAGAAAACACACTTTCAAAATTTAATACCTTGCTTCTGTTCACAATTCACAGCACATCCCAAAATAAGCTGAAGCATTCTTCCAAGCTCTGCAGCGTCAGCATGCTCTCCGATCAGGTTAACATCGGGAAGGGTGAAGTCATTAATCTGTTGCCCTAGAATCTGCATAAAGACCCAGTACATACATGTCTGTATCACTACACGTATACATATACACACATTTCAAAATACAAAAGTGATTCAGAATCAACAAGAGCAAATCACTCATATTTTAGTTTTCAATCCACTATTGTTTTAAAACAAATTAAATTGCCCAACACCTAACATCCAAATACTAAACTATACTGCCTGACACAACTAATATTTGGGAGAAGACAAACCTGACTGTCTCAACAGGAAACTGTTAGTTTCAAACTTGGCAAGATTTTTTCTTCAGATAAGAAAGGTAACAAAGGCAGGCTTCTATACACTAATCTCACATTTCTTACCATTAGAAAGCCAGAAACTGAGATACTTCACTTATACATGTGTCTAGCTCTGATGGATGACAAATATAAGACTGTAAAAAACTCCATCAATCAGCCTCACACTTTTAGAAAATTTAAGGATATTTAGCAAGCCTCAGAGCTAAGAAAGCTAGTTTCATAGAAGAGAATTTGAGGTAGTAGTACAATACATAATTAAACAGCCCACATGGAGAAAGAAAAAAACAAAACAAAACAAAAAATCCCACGTGACTTACAATTAATGTAATCTGATTTATAATTAAGAAGGATTTACATTAATGATTGTCAGTAGAAAGAATTAAACAATTCTGCTAAATTGTTCATAAAGAGCTTTCAGGGGGCTGAAAATACGAATATGAAATATGGAATTAAACACAACTCTGACACATTAATTGCAGATAAAAAGAAACTGTCACTTCTTAAGCAGAGAAACAATGACTATGGAGGGAATAAGTAATTTGTTTGCTGGATGCCCTTTTTCATATTAATACTCAAGAAAAACAGAAAATCAGGTAAAGGTGTTTATCAAAAACATTTAACAGATATATGAAGAATACATGGAAATCAACCCATTCAAAAGTTTTCCAGGGTTGGGCTTTGTGGTGGTGTTGTAGTTGAATTTGTTCTTGCTTTGAATGTAGTTTTTTGTACCATGGCTTTTTTTTTTTTTTTTAACAGCTTTTTCAAAGAATGAGCACCAACACTGTTAAAAATCTCTGTATACTTTAAAGGACCCAGATTCATTCTTGTTGGAAAAGACTTCCTTTAGGGTATTCTAGTGAGAAAATATGCATCACGCACAATGGAAAATATTACCATAGTATATAAACAGCGATAATACAGTAAAACACAATATTCTTTGAATAATACAAATCTTGATATGTGTTTACATTTTGATCTGTAGTTCCTGGATTTCTTTCAAATGCAATGCTAGATTTAAGTTAATGATACTGGTACTGCTTCATAGTTACTAATAATATAATTGCCATTGAAGAAAGGTGAAGGAAAGAGGCATATCAGCAGGCACTATGAAGAAGTCAAGGATGTGAAGATATAAATAGACAATTTTGAAATAAACATGAGATACAATTTTAATTAAAAAAAATTGAAAGAACTATGAAAATGAAGGACAGACTCTACAATAAACATCTTGAGATGAAAAAGAGTATTTTTCCCCTTTTTAAAAAATAAATATAAAATACCTTTACAAAAAAAAAAAAGTTTCAATTCCAGTGCAGCAGAGTTCTGCAGCAAGATTATTGGGGCACAACAAAGCATGCAAGCTATAAACAATTAACTTTGCCAATGGAAGAACAAGAAGCCAAAGGCAGCAATGTAGGATAGCTATTGAAAGACTGTCCTCATGAATGCAATATAAATTTTTGAATTTTTGACACTGAACAAAATTAGCATATACACTTTTCAAAGACTTTTAGCAAAACCAGGTAAAATCCATATACATTCACATCTATAGTTTTGTAGAAGGTGATTGGCTAGAAGAGGGAATCAGGCTGAGGAAAACGTAAGCAGGATTCATAGCAGAATCCAGATCATCTCCATTACCACCACAAGCATTCCCTCAGCAGAAAAAAAAAAGAAATCAAAATTCAATCAAACTTATAAATGTGCATTACCTTTGCAGAACACAAGCAGCTTAAAACAGCTCAAAACTTGCTTAGCAGTAAAGCTTTCCCACCAGAAGCTTAATCATCACACATACTAACTAGCCAAAAAGATGGCATCACTTCGTCATAGTAATATTAATTTTCTGTAACAAAAAATTTACTTCTTTCTAGAATTATCAGTTAAGACCAACTTGCTTAATTATCCAATTTCAAAATTTATTTTAACACAGATACCTGACCATTTACTAAATACGAGCTTATGAACCTAACTTTTTCTTTCTGAAAATCTGTTCATTTTTAAAGACTTCAGTTTATTAACAAATTACTTATGAGAAGCTAACACTTTGAGACCAGCAATGTCCAGAGTGTATATATGATGGAATTTGTGCTGCAGCCTGTATAGCTCAATTTGCCTCAAAACATCACTGAAAATAAAAGCATATTTCAGCTGCAGATTCACCACTGAAAAAACCACTGTATTTTATCTCCTTGGGAGTGGTTCATTTCTGAGTTTGCTCAATAGTCTAAGAGAGAACACCCAGAGCAGACTCCAATATCCCAGGATTAAAACATTTTATTGAAAGTTTTAACGTGGGAAGAGGCTAAAAGAGCTCTTTTCTCTCTCTCCTCAAGAGAGAAAGAGAAAGAAAAAAAAAAAAGGAAAGAGGCAGTCTTTAGCTGGAGCAGGGAGGGGGAAATCAAACACAGGTACTGTTAAAGACCATCATCAGAATTTGTACATCAGACACCTCTGGAAGTTCTGTGTGTTCAGTAAAGCAGATGAGAAGTTTTAGAGAAGGCTAACACCTGAGAATAGGCCATGAAATACTCTGTATGCCAAATATATTGCAAGAAGAAGTCAGAACTTGATCAGTAGAATATAATTCACATTAAACAGGTTAACTAATATATGTAAGAAAAAAGCAATGTTGATGTAGATGACTGAAAACTGTTCTTACCTCATGGTTGTAATCCAATATTCCTTTTAAAATTTTCTTCAGGTTGCTTACCTATTTGACAAGAAGGAGGAAATACAATAAATGCAGGGAAGAAGTTAACAGATATATGATCATAAAGTAGGCAATCACAGAAGAATCGCATAAAAGAATCATACAATTACATCTATTCACACAATGAGACTTTCTGTTTGAGCAGTTTAATTTAGAATCATGAAAATTATGCAGCAGTCCCTTATGATCAGGCTTCCAGACCTGATCACAAATGTTTAGTAATTGACAGAACCCATTTAAATTTATGAAAAACATAACATAGTCTTGGACAGGCTTTAAATCTGACTCTAAAGCATGAATCTTTTTTGGAGTACTTGTTCATCATAGGATTATTTTTGTATCCGTAAGTTGGAACATTCTTTTCCTCCTTTCTTCACCGAGTATCCTAGTGATGTACTTTCTGTAGAGACAAACCACCTTCCAAACTAAAACCAGCTACTGCTCAATATCCTCCTTTATTCCCAACATGTGTAGGTTTAATTTATTAACTTGCTCATTATCTATTCCTCTTGGTTCCTTTTGTTCATCCCCCCCACCACCCCAGTTCTTTACAATTGAATGTTTGTTTTACAGTATTCAAGGCAAAATTCACAGTTCTCAGTGATGCCTTCACAGCCACACAAAGACAGCTTCTGGTCACTTGCATAACCAATGGCATCAGTTAATGTTTCCTGCCGTATAGAATCTATGCCACACTTCTCTAGTACAGACTACTGCTCCTTTTCCAGCAAAAGTCCATTTACATCAAGTCTCTGAGGTAAAGAGTGCCTTTAAAAATTATAAAAAGGCCCAATGGATCTTAAAGGTGATACTTAGTGGGGAAAAAAACCACCTTTGCTGAAAGCAACTGCTACACACTCCCACCAATTAATGTCCAAGTCTTTAAGCAAGGAATTTAGATAGTAGTAGCAGTGCATTGTCTGCTGTGACAGAGGAGCAGCTGAGGGAACTGGCATTGTTTAGCCTGGATAAATGGATGCTGAGGGGAGACCTTATCGGTCTCTATAACTGCCTGAAAGGAGGTTGTAGCCAGGTGGGTGTTGGTCTCTTCTCCCAAGTAACAAGCGACAGGATGAGAGGAAACGGCCTCACATTGTGCCAGAGGAGGTTTAAATTGGATACTAGGAAAAAGTTCTTCACCGACAGGTTTCTCAAGCATTGGAACAGGCTGCCCAGGGAAGTGGTTGAGCCACCACCATCCCTAAAGGTATTTAAAAGTTGCATAGATGTGGTGCTTAGGAACATGGTTTAGTGGTGGACTTGGCAGTGCTGCACTAACAGTAGGACTCAATAATCTGAAGGGGTTTTTCCAACCTAAATGATTCTATCAAGTCTATAACCAGGTTCTGCAAAGACTCAACCTGACTGAATCAGGACTCACAAAGTGCTATTGCTGACAACAGCACCCATAGTAGCACACTGTGAAACTGTAAAGAAGGGAGAGCAAAACCTCTCATATCCCAACTGTCTTTAAAGCCCACAATAACTTCCATATTCTTGATTACATTCAAAAAATATCCAGCTAGGAGAGTCTATCCACTGGCAGAAGTCATCTATCTTCCAAAAGATCTAAGGAAACACTACAGAAAACCGGAAACATGATACTGACATCCAGGGACAAACTCAGACAAAATGAGGTGATGAAAGCAAAATCCAGGCTCTTTTCTAAGAGAAACTTAAGAAAAGAAAAGGCTACACATACACTCTACAGATTTAGCCAGGAAATCCAAAGTGATAATGATCTGATTACCCTTCTCCTATTAATCCACTCCCTTTTGGAAAAAAGTGGCAAAAGCTGACCACTTAAGATACAAAAACATCCTGATTGTCTTCATAATCACTGAACTTTAAGTCATACAAGAAACAAAAATTCACTTGGACTTGAAAAGTGACACATCAAATATTCTGACAACCTAGAATGAGAACTGGAGATGCCACATAATAGCAAGTATGTAACATTTACTGTCCCTCCCATAACAGCAAAATAATTAGTTTCCTTTCAGGTTTACACCTTCTACTTCCAAACACATACTATTTCTCTAATATCATGTTTCTATAAGAACTATAACTATCTTCTCGCTGTCTGCCCAAAAGCAATTACCACCACCTCTCTACACACAGTCATAAACAAAGTCTGCAACAGATTTAAGAATTTAAAGAAATATAAATAGTTTGATTTTGATGTCGAATCACCACAAAGAATACTGCACTGATTGGAATATAATTTTCAAATTTGATTCATTAGAATCTTCCAGTCTGTAATTTACCTGAGTCTGCTGCAGAAAGTGCCACAGAAACACAAAGGCCATGTTGCAGAATTTAAGTCCAGTTTACCGATGAGAACGTTGTGAGGAACCTTGAACTTGAACATAATCCCAAAAAATGAGAAACAAAATGGAAAGAACCCACCTACAAAATACTTATTTTCCCCTTTCCTTGTAAGCATTGTTTGAATCAAAAGCCCTTAAACAGAAAGAGTCATCTTGCTCCACGTAACTACCACAGAGCTTAGAGCTGAGATGCTGGGACAAAATCAATATTTATCAAAATCTGTCATCAAAACTAACATATAGGGCAGTATCCTTGGAAAAAGAAAACAGCAAACAAACTGAAAAAAAAAAATCTTGTCTTCAAGGTCCTATTTTATTACACTGTCAATCAGCAGTACTAGGATAACTTGCTTTCAAGAGTTAACTGTACCATCTTTGTATGTAGCACACAATCAGACAATTATAAGGCTAAAGCAGTTTTTTTATAGACTGGTTTAAACTTAACAATGATCTTCAGTATTACTCGGAGAGCTCTCGATTTTTTTTTAACTTGTCTGCAGTGAATACACTTAGATGGTTCTACTGCCACTGGCAGAGAATCATCATGGGAAACTACCACAATTGGTTTTTGTTTTGAGATTCAACTCAGTAACTCCAGTAACATTTGTCAGATCATAGCATAAGTTCTTAATAGGAAGACTTCAAATGGAGATGTTTGAAAATGAACAACGGCACAAGAAAGTGTAAAGACAACCAATTACATCAGAAATCTAAATCACAGCAGGTGATGGCTGTTCAGAATTTTTTTGTCGTCTTTTTCTTACGCACATGGGGAAAACCTAACTATAACTAGTTAACAAAGACCATTAAATCATGCAATGATAGAATAGATAGAATTTCCAATATCAATCATGACTATGAAGCACTGTATGATCCTTTGATCATCAGTCCATGATCTCATGGGATGCTTATATCTTGCATCAGCAACCTGACTTCCTCCCTTTGCATACAAAGCACACACACTACCCTCCCAATCCCTTTCACATCCATTCCCTGCACCCATACCTCTATTGGAAAAGACATG